ACATAATCAAAGATTTATTACCTGACTTAGTCAAATTTAAATTTAACTGTAAAGGCTCGTTTCCACTACTGCATACGAACGCATTGCGTCAATTGAAGACACGCCTACGGCATCCGTACAAGCGTTTCCACTGCTGCGTATCCGTAAAATATTTTCATTTTCCACCGCTAGGTGTCACTGTAATATTTTTGGCGCCCAAACAAGCAGTTGGTGAGTTAAGACGCTGAACATCTGAATTTTTCCCGCTTAAGCGAGTATTGTATGTTTTGGATTTGATATGGATCCTGATGTAAAACACAGAAAAGTTTTGTTCACTAAATTCCATGTTATTGGAAATTTTTATTTCTGTTTTATAAACTGCGAAAGTAAAGTACGCTAGCAATTTTTACATAAGTAAGGTTATAATGCATATTATGAACATCACTAATTCCATAGAAGCTTAAGTAAATTAAAAAAAAAAATTTTTGTGTTTCTAGAAGCCTTAAATATTATGAAATAATATATATATTATTAAAACTGAAATGTACTGTTAGTAAAAAAGTAAACAAATAAATAAATAAAATAAAAAAGTTAAAGGAATAAAAAATAGTTGGTACTGTAAAAGTACAGAGCAACTCTAAAGAGAGGTTCACAATATTTACGCAAAATTTGCTATGCTTGTATACCGCTGACTTCAGGGTCATAGCTGGATAATTTATTAGAAATCTCGTTTGTTTTAAAATGCACTATGGGCAGTAATTTAAACATTTTTAATTCATATCTCTTTTTTATAAAAGTTATAAAAATAAGATTTTTCTCTTTATATATACACACATTAAGTAAAGAAAATTGAAATATTTAATTAATTAATTCTGCACTTCTGCTGGAGAGGACTGAATTTAAAAGCAATATAATACTAATATTATACTAATTACTATAATATTATTATAGTAATTTTTTGTTAAAAAAATGTTTAGGGCATTAATACTGTCTCATGTTAATTGGGAATGAAAGTTTAGAGTCGTAAACATCCCAAGTCTGAGCACATGTATATACATTCACATAAAAGTGAAACGAATATATATATATATATATAATATATATATATATATCTGCAGGGTTTCAAAATAAATTAAATGTAAATAATTCTCTTGTGCCATTGCTGCAAGGAATGAAATTTGAATTTAAACAACATTTCTATTCGTAAAAAGCAAATTAAAAGTTAATTAAATTTAAATGAAATTTAATGCAAACAAATAAAGGATTAATTATTGCTGCGAAACTAATATACAATATCATTAAATTCTGAGAGCATATGTAAATCAAGTGCAAGTATCAAAATCCATGAATAAATATATAATTCCAAAAATTTATTTATCCTATTATTCACTTATGCATTTTATAATTTTTTAGGATAATAAGCTATCCATGATTCACTTATGCATTTAAAAAATTTTTTTAGGATTAATAATCTATCCATTATTATTCACTTATGCATTTTTATAATTTTTTTAGGATTAATAATCTATCCCATTATTCACTTATGCATTTTTATAAATTTTTTAGGATTAATAAATTTTTGGAATTATATATTTATTCATGGATTTTGATACTTGCACTTGATTTACATATGCTCTCAGAATTTAAATGATATTGTAGATTAGTTCGCAGCAATAATTAATCATTTATTTCATCTATATTTAATTAACTTTAAATTTGCTTTTTACGAATAGAGAATGTTTGTTAAATTCAAATATATATATACAGGGTATGCTTTAAATTAGTATTATATAATTTTCAAACTTTTTTGCTGGGGGGAAATTTAAATAAATAAGAGCATAAATAAAACAATATATTTAACGCATATAACAATAGAAATAATAAATTATAAAACACGAATATAGATCAAATTGGAACAAAAAGCTGAGAAAGTTGCAGACAGGGTGCAAAAAGCGTACGGGATTCGAACTCACGACCCCCAAAAGTAAACATTATTACTCTCAGCTTTACCACTAAGCTAGCACCACACACAAGTTGTATGCATATTTTGGCTTATATACATCATCAAGTAAATCAATTCTTAAAACTAAATTTTTTGGTCTTATTTCAGTGTGCTATCGTCTGAAAAATTCACCAGAGTTAGTTCTTCAGCTTCTAGTACATTTTTTACAAAAAACATTATCTTTTAAAGTGGCGTTCCGATTGAATTTAAACGGGCTGTTAAAAATATATTTCATGTGCTTACAAATATATGTTAGCCAAAAAGATATATTTATAAATGGAAATACAAATTTAACATACTCTTTAATGCAATGGAATATTTAAAAGGCTATCAAATTTAATTTATAATTAACGTTTTTAGTTTTTACCTATTTCAAAAGAAAAAAATAACAAATATTTTAATCATATCTAATTTGCTATGGCAGTTTGATATAGTCAGACATTCATTTTCATTAAAGGTAAATGAATATGCAGAACTAAAAAATAATTGTTAGGACAAATTTTGCTATTTCATGGACTTGGAATTGGAATTATAATTTTTGGCACTGATTTTCTTGAACTGAATTTCTTGAACACCTGATTTTATCTGCGAACAAGTACTGTAGTTGCAGTTATCTTATTTTTCTTATCTTTTTTTTAACTAAATTTCAGCTGATTGCTGATTTTTTCAGTATGCAGATTTCTCGCTATAATGCTAATTCCAGAAATAAGTGTATTTTTTAGCAAAACATTCTTTCCCTATTAGCAAGCGTTCATGGCTACTTCTGCCACCTTTAGTTTTTGGTGAGTACACCTGATTGCTCCTTTTTTACCACATGACCCCAACTCGTCCGCAGACATACGGATAGAAGTTGAACATTGTTGAACTCCATCCGTATGTCATCCATCACCGCACACCGACCGGATTGCAGATGTCAATCAAAGTAAATTCGCTCGCTGATTGGAGAAACGCATACGCAGCAGTGGAAACGGGCCTTTATTCGTCTAAATACAAAGTAAATGTACTCTCCAATTAGCTTTTTGTGAATATTTCGAAAAAATTACCTCCATCTCCCCAAATGATGCCTTTTCACTCTGCATAAAGACAGCACAATGATGGGTATTTTAGCTAGTCTAATAACAATAATTAAAAAAAAATGAGGGGGCTGACTGAATCATTTTCTGATGATAAAAATCTGTGGTATCTGCAGGCATTTCAGGCATTAACAGCCAATAATAAAGCATACTGCCCTGTAAGTGCATGATGATCATGAAAGGATCCAAATGTTCAGCACGGAGATAAAGCAGTTTTACATATTCAGAAACATGTCCATGTGCACATCAGCAGTCAGCACATATCAATTAAGCATGGCCCACATTACCACCACCTATTTGAAGAGGTGTTACTGATATGATTCGTAAAATTTTTATATACCTCTCACCTAATATACAAACTTCGAGTTGTAATGAACACATAACTATAATTAGCAGGACAAATCTCTAATCTCTTAAAATCAAGATACAGCAGCTAATTCTTGACATCTGAGGCAAAATACTATGATAACGCATTAGAAGTGAGATTAGTGTGTCAAGAGCTCCCATGATCTATACAGTCAAAAGTTGTTAATCCGGACTCGTCGGGACTTCGGCGATTCCGGATTATCGATTTTTCCGGATTATAGATCATCAGTTTAAATCTCGTAAGATGGCATGCAGAAATTCTAAAATTAAAAATATAAAACTGTAATTTATGAAATAAAGAACAATTATGATCTAAAGGGTATCAAAATTTACAAAAAAAAAAAAAAAAAAAAAAAAAAAAAAAGCTTAATATTTATTTGTTTACTTTATTAAACATTTCTTTCAATGTAAGTTGTTTAAGTTGCTTCGTTTTATGTGATAATACTTTCTCTTTAATTCTATAAACAAACATAATTTCTTGTTCAGTTACAAAGTTCCGCTGTTCAAGTCCCGTTAATTGCTGTGCCGAGAATACCGACTAACTTGTCAATCGAAATTTTTTCGTTTTCACTAACCTCTCTGTCACATTCTTCATGTCTTTATCCATTTTTTTGCAGCAATTCCACTTTTTGTTTGTTGGACATTGAAACATACTTTCGTTTTGTAGATACTTTGGAAGTTCCAGCATCGGAAATTCTATTTGACATAATCGAAAGTTCAAGTTTACTTTTATAAAATTGCTCTTACAGTCTGCAAAAAATAATAAGCGGGATCCCAATTCGAAGATTAAGGAACAACGCAATCATTAACATTAACTGAAATCGATAATTAGATAATTTTAGCTTATAGTCCGTTATACATTAAACGCGCAGGCGAAAACGTATTCTGCATTTGCGCACACACATATGCACAGTAGTCAAGGTCTTACGCGCACGCGTAAAACGCCTGTGCGCATGTGCCAACGCTGCGCATGCGCAGAAAGTTTTTTAGCTTTGAGGTCCGGATTATGGGTGTCCGAATTAACGACTTTTGACTGTAGTAGCTAAAGACAGCATATGACCTAGGCAAAACATTTCAGGCATCCTCCTTTAATGAAATCAGCATTCTTTTATGGCAGCATTAATTTCATGTTGTTTGAAACACTACTGGACATCTATGATTACATTCATAAGTCATTTTTCCTCTCTTAGGCAATCGTTATTCATTATAGGATATCATTTTGGAAATGACTATTTTTAATAAACTTAAAGGTAGTGTAATACATTTGATATTATTCCTAGAACAAATGATCCATGTACTGGTTTCTCCAACAATTTCTTTTCTAAGCTTGTCCAACTCCGGATTCCTCTGTGATGTCACATTTCGTGAAGTTACTATTTCTGACACAGAAATACTGTCATATGGATAGTGACATGTTCTCCCATTTATACCCATACAGGCAGATTTATTAAAAAACAGGATGGTGACTGCTTACTTGTCTTATTACTTGCTAATCTTACTTATCCTCATAAAAGCAGACAGCAGGTAATTTAATTTATAAAATTTTATAGTAGTGTAAAATGAAGCTTTTGAGTAAGTACCTGTTCATATTCATCTGTGATTGTTTTTGGTTCTTCGTGCCTCTGAAACCACATCATATACTTTGTGTGAAACCTCCAAGATTGCTTCTTTAATGCTTTAGCTGCTAAATATTGTGCTTTTGTTCCCTAAATAAGAACAAATAACACAAATAAAGGACTGATTACAATATTATGTAATACACAATATATAATAATCACATAGCCTAAAGGGGTTTGAAAGCATGGTTTGATTAGTAAGGGCAGAGAATGCACAGACTGACTTTTAGTGTTACAACATACATTTAGTCTGCGCATTTAATGTTATAACATACCCCTCTTCTCTTCTACGATAAAATTTTTTGAAAATATATGTACAAAATTAATGCAAATTAGATTAAATCATACACATCAGGATTAATAATAATTAAGGAAAGTAACAAAAGTTTGAACATGTCAAAAGATTCCTTTTAACATCACAAAAGCTTTGCAAAACGCTTATCTCTTAACAGTTACAACTACAGAAAATTAAATGCAATCTGAATCTACTTGATTCTGAAGTAGCAACAGTTATGATTACAGGCTGAATTAAAAAAAATATTTCTTTATTTCTTGTCTTATATCATCAGAACTTCTTAAATTGTGCATGACATTTCAAGCAAAGGATGTGTTATTTAAATTAGCAAACTCCTGGTAAGAATGAACCATATACTTGCTGGCTAAGTGAGTATAAGATGTAAAGCTTATAAGATCACACATGTACGTAACTAATAATTAACCATGATCAGATTATTCAGAACACTTGCATTATGAATCTCATACGCCAATTTAAAATTCACTAGAGATGTTATATAGATTATGAAATACACACTTTTCTTAACACACACACAACACACACACAAAAAAAAAAAAAAAAAAAAAAAAAACGAAAACTTATAGTACAAATTCTTTACTCACTTAAAGTAGACTGGCCATTTTATATATTTTTAACTAATTTATAGGGAAAAATTGGAACTGATTCTTAACTTCAATAACTGAAAATAGTTCTACACAACAATCAAGAGAAACAAGGATTACGTAAATATTGGTGTTGCATTATGTGCAGCTGTTGCTTCCCACTTTAAAATAAGAAACTATTTGCACATAACCATAACCATTTGCAGCTTGTAAACATCTCTTGGGAAGTTGGAATGGTATAGAAATATAAATTTTTGGTATTTCGCCAACCCAAGACACATACAAAACTTCATTTTTTTAAGCCTGAGAGACAGCCTTCTTCAGTTTCTACATAACTGAAATTCGCAGCATTTTTAATAAAAATTTTACTGCAGCTTGTTCCAGTATTTGTTTCTAAATTAACAGATATCAAACATTCAACAGAGAAGATATTTTGCTGAAATTTCAGAAGACTGAATAAGGGCGTTAGGAAAAGCTGATATTGCTAATACAACAGAACATAAGAATAACCAGCTTCATCGCACATTACAAGAAAAAATTTCAGTCCTTCAACTACATAAAAATATAAATAGTTCATGTTACTTATGCACATTCTAAAAAAACTAGAAACAGCATAATTTGCGTACAATTGGAGAGCTAATTTTGAATGTTTGAATAAAGCCTTCATTTTCAGTTGCAAGAGTGAAAATGACAAAGAAAAAGCATATGCTCATGCAATAACAAACTGACTAAAAAATTTGATAAAGTTCCAGTTAAGGAAAGAAACAAACACCATCTATTGACAAAAAATAAAAATAACTATGAAATAATTGACTTAAAAGTTGAAGGTAAAGATAGAAAGATTGCGATCATTAAGCAAAGGAAATTTCTGAAAGATTCTTACGAATGCAAAACAACTCTAAGAAATTTAATTTAAAAAAAAAAAAAAAAAAAAGTTAAAAAGTTTTCCGGACAATTTTGGCTACAGAAAAAATTTTTTTGCAACCAAAGCTACACCAGCAGCAAAATACAAGTGATCTTTGTCATTTCCTCTGTGGGAGCCAAAACTAGCATCACCTGCTCTGCTGCAACTAGCAAGCAGAGCAGGTGATTGAGCAATTCAGCATCATGGATAATAGCTTGGAAAACACTGCTTATGAGTGAGGAGTAAAAGCACCCCACAAGTGAGTTTACCATGCTGCTTCTCCTTCAAGAATTGACACAGTCAGCTGATTATTCCAGAACAGTATGCAAAATTCAGTTTGTTAATAATTTATTGCAATCTTTAGTCATTCATAATGACTCTTTTCCTGTCTCAAGGTCATTAACACCTTGCTGGGTGAACTTTTCACCAGGTTTATTTTTCACCTGGGTGGACTTTTCACCAAGTCTTAGACTTGATATTGGACAAAAAGTGTCATAGTAATGAATCCATGACTATTCAGCCATCAATACTGAACTGATAAAATGACACTTTGTAGACAATCTAGAGGCCAAATCAACATTCTACTTGGTTAATGCACAGCATTCATATCCTGAATGCCAAAGTTTTTGTGATCCAGTGGATACAGACCTTTCTCAAACCAAAGGTTTCTGAAAGGATATTGGCCATACTGCTCTTTGAAATGTCTAACATGGCTGCAACATCTCACATGGAAATCGATCAGTCATCAGCAACAACATAAGCAATGATTTTGCTGGTGATAGAGGTAACCGGTCTCTCTGATGGTAGGTGCATCTTTGACTGAAGTTTCCATATGTTTGATAAAACTGACCAACTTGCCAACTGTGTTGTAAATAGAAGAGTTTTCCCTATCACACAATTAAGCTTTCTTTTGATCTGTGTGGTATTGTAATTTTTAAACACAAAGAATTTGATGACTGAACACAAGCCATTTTGAACTATTTTGTTAAAAAGAAAGAGGTTTTTAACCACCAATAAGCAGAAAAAGGCCAAAAAGTGTGTGTGTGTGGGTGATGAAAATGAAACATCAACTGATTAAGAAAAATATGCCCTTTCCAATGCACTACAGCTTTCTAACTTTGGAACTATATATGGAGTCTATAAAATTTTTTAGACAATTTAGTTCAGTACACAGAGAAAATATGCCAACTTCAGAAAGATAAATTTAAAAATGACTAAAGATAAATGCTATAAGTTTTGGGAATGAAATCCATGTCTGGCTTTACAGATAAATGATGAAAATGTCTTGGGATATACATGAAACTGAGATTGAAGATCTGTGTTTCAAAGCAATTCAACAAATAAAATAAGCTATAAGAGTGCCCTGAAAAATCAACAGGTTCTATGATCTACAAGACTTTGTAATTATTTCAAAATTAGAAGCTGAAACTTTTTGTAAAAGACTTAAGAGCAAAATCTGTAGATGAAGCTACAAATTTTGATCTATTGGTACCTAAGAAATTATTCTACATATGAAGAGAATGATAAGATACATAATAAGAGACAGATGAATAATAATAAGAGACAGATGAATAATAATAAGAGACAGATGAAGATGAATGAGATATAGATAAAGAGATAGAAGAAATAAATCTACAGGCATTTTGGAATCAACATATGATATAATTGTAGATCTAAGCAATTATTCTGTAACTAGCTATTATCATTTTACCAGTCTATAAATGGAAGGACATTCATTTAATTACTTTCAGTTGATAGATCCCAATATAAATGTATTCCTTCCAAGCTCCTGAAATAAGAACTAAGAATTTTCTTAAGAATTTGCTTTCCTATAGAATGTAAACAGTTAGAACATTAAGAACATAATTGATGTGATTACCTCTTCAGTTATCTGTTGTATGTTCCCATTATGCAGATTTGCATGCATTGCAGTACTGGAACTGCAAACATTCCTTTCTACAGCTTTTTAAGTTTCTTCTAAGCATTTTCAATAATTTGTATGTTATATATTTCTAAAACGACAAGTTTCCAAAGTGCAAAAAATTTAACCTCTTAATGCCCTCAACCAAGTTGTCTCATGTACATTAAATTAAATTATTTCTGTGTACCCGAGAATGTTCTAGAATTTTTTTCAGATATGAATACAACAGACTATATCTGTTACAATTTAAAATAAAGAATAAAAACAATTGGCAGAAAAAAGATTACTTTCTGAATTTTTATTGGCACATTAAGAGGTTACTTTTGAGTAAAAGTAATGCACAATGATACAGTCAGTAAGATTTTTCCATATACATGAACAAAAAAAATTGGTCTAGATGCTTTTTTTAACTTATTTATTTGTATTTAAAATAAATGGCTAAATTATTTTAGAGTATATTCATTATGATTGCTATAAGATAAAAAATATTTAGATAGTAGTAAATAGAAATGCATATCCAATAAATCATTGTTAATGATTAAGTGTTATAAGGGAAGAATTCATATATTCTTTACTACTAAAAACACCTTACCATATAATTTATATTCATTTCTGAATATAATTTAACACATTTCAAAATATTTGCATTCTTGTATTCGAACATAATCAGTATTGCACAGAAGTGACAATAGAGTACAGAACAGGAAAACAATTATTATTTCAAGAGAAATATGTAATTTTAATTACAGTAGTACTTTGAACAGTTTTACTATATGGGCTGCATTATGTAAGAGAAATAACTTTGAAGTTTTGAAACTATAAAACGAGGAAGAAGGAGAGTGGGGGGGGGACAGGATTGTAAATAAGCTTATGTAAATCATATTTCTGAATAATGGGTGACATAAAATTTTGAAAACAAATCTCTTATTTGTTTTATAATTTTTTATCAATATTATGATTTTTCTTTAAACATATTATGCTATACAGGTTATTATACATATGTTATAAAGGACAAGCATTTGAAGGCTACCTGCCTATGTGGAAGTTCTTTCGAGGGAAATTGATTTGTATTTATGTTACACATAAAAAGAACCCTACACAGTTAGGTATTTCAATGAAACCCAATCCCTCAGGAACTGTTGGTATTCCACAGTTTTATCCACTCAGCCTTTTGTGGACATTTGACGGAAAATATCCTTCCCTTTTATACAACTCCAGGAAGTAAAGACATTAAAAAGAAGGTAGAAATTCATAGGCAAATGATATTTTTGACAAAAGATTTTCGGAAGAGGATTACTAGTTTAATTTAATTACAGCACATTCAGTTTCTCTTCTTAAATATGTTATGGAAGTTTTGATGTATGGAATCTATTTAGGAATTTGCAAATGGTTTAATACTTTACTAAACTCATCTTAGAAACCTGATAGGAAAATGTATGCTTTCTTATGTGCACTATGGATAAGAATTTCTGTTCTACAAATTGGTACAGAAATACAAATGAGATAAGTCAATAAAGATCTGTGTTTGCACATTTTTATGATATTGAAAATACAACAATTAAATAGTAATTTTACTTATTTTTGTCAGTTATAAAGACTCTGCTTATGATTACACATAATGAATTTAATTGGAAAACAAGTTTAGTTCACTAAGCCACTTTCAATATCATGAAAGAAAGCCCCCAGATGGAAAGGTGGTAAGTGATTCTGACTGCCATATCAAAGGGCCCAGTTTCGAATCCCAGAGAAGGCATGGATGTAAATTGTCTGTCCCTTCATAGAAGATAATGGTGGCTGTCTATTAGGTGCCTATTATATGTCTATTAGGGTTTTGGGCACGAACTGACCTCTCGATGATCTCCCATAAATGTTCGATGGGATTCATGTCGGGCGATCTCGGTGGCCAGATCATTCGCTGGAATTGTCCAGAATGTTCTTCTAACCAATCGCGAACAATTGTGGCCCGGTGACATGGCGCATTGTCATAATAAATAAATAAAAACACATGAAATGGCATGAGAAATATCCTGGACTGGCATGTAGAAAAAGATTAGGTATTTAAAGGCAATACACATTGAGGGTGACATGATGCTATCCATTAGCTTTCTGCTTCTTTAAGGATTTCCTAGCTAGTTTGATTCTGATATACGTATGTTGATAATGATTCAATTGAAAATTATATTGTGAAATTGAATGCTGCTAAAAATTGGTTTTGTTTACTGATTGTGTAATTACTTAGCAGATTTTGTCTCAAATTAAGTTCATGATAATTAAATAAGCACAAATAAGGATAATAAAAGTCATCAGGAGAATGTGAAAATATAAGTAAGGAACAGATCATAATATTAGACATTTTCTAATAACAGAAGAGAAGAATGCTGAATTTTTTTTTTTGAAAATATCAACATACCTCCATATAATAAAAAATGAAAAACAAGGTTTCCGTGGACAGTCGCTGGAAGAATTCCACAGTGTCACAATGCGACAAGCCTTGAGGGTAATACGATGGTGTTGGGAACGGATTACGAGGAAGGTACTGCCTGTTTTTATAAATTGCACAGTTAAAATGAATCAAAAAAACAACATAATACTATAAAAATGCAGCTCTTTTTTTTTTTCCAAGATAAAAAAAAATTAAAAGAAAATATTGTATTTCCTGGTTCAAATGGATAAAAAATTACTTGACAACCTTTGTATGAAAGATGCAGGTTTTATAAGCACAATTTGATTACAATTTATAAGTCATAATAGTGCAGTTATGCTATTGCAAAAATAATCACGACACAGTATTTCTGAGATATTTTCAATATCATATTTTCCTGTAAATGTTAAACAAATCCAAGGTTTTCATCACATACTTTCACATTAATTAAAATTATTTTCTAGTTGCTGTTATTATTTTTCAAATTTAAATCCTTCATTAGAATTTATGTATTTTTATTAATATAAACAAACCTTTCTCTTCAAAGTTTTAGTCAGGTCTAGATTTAGTAAATATTTGGAGTTTAATGGAATATAGAGATAAATGGTCTCAAAATCAAATGTTCAGTTTCAAAATTTAAAAACATGTATGGAAACACCACAATGTATTAAAATACTATCTATATTTTGTATAATCACATTTTCAGAATCTGACTGCTTTGTGAGTGCGAGCATCAAATTAAAAATTTACAATATTGTGTTATTTTGTCATATGCTAATTATTTTATTACTGCTTGATATTCGACAGATTACACTGAAGTGACAAAAGTCATGGGATACCTCCTAATATTTTTGTCAGTCCTCCTTTTGCCCGATGAAGCGCAGCAACTCAACGTGGCATGGACTCAACAAGTCGTTGGAAGTCCCCTGCAGGAATACTGAGCCATGCTGCCTCTATAGACGTCCATAATTGTGAAAGTGTTGACGGTGTAGGGTTTTGGGCACGAACTGACCTCTCGATGATGTCCCATAAATGTTCGATGGGATTCACGTCGGGCGACTAGGTGGCCAGATCATTCGCTGGAATTGTCCAGAATGTTCTTCTAACCAATCGCGAACAATTGTGGCCCGGTGACATGGTGCATTGTCATCCATAAAAATCCCATCGTTGTTTGAGTACGCAAAGTCCATGAATGGATGTAAGTGATCTCCAAGTAGCTGAAGGTATCCATTTCCAGTCAATGATCAGTTCCGTTGCACCAGAGGACCGAGTCTATGGCATGTAAAAACAGCCCAGACCATTATGGAACCACCACCAGCTTGAACAGTGCCTTGTTGACAACTTGGGTCCATGGCTTCGTGGGGTCTGCGCCACACTCGAACTCTACCATCAGCTCTTACCAACTGAAATCGTGACTCATCTGACCAAGCCACGGTTTTCCATTTGTTTAGGGACCAACCGATATGCTCACGAGCCCACGAGAGTCGCTGCAGGCGATGTCGTGCTGTCAGTAAAGGCACTCGAGTCGTCGGTTTCTCTGCTGGCATAGCCCAAGGAAGACAAATTTTGCCTCACTGTCATATCGGACACGTCCCTCGTATGTCCCACATTGATTTCTGCGGTTATTTGACGCAGTGTTGCTTGTCTGTGAACATTGACAACTCTACGCAGACGTCGCTGGTCTCGATCGTTAAGTGCAGGTGGTCGGCCACTGCGCTGTCCATGGTGGGATGTTATGCCTGAAATTGGATACTCTCGGCTCACTCTTGACACTGTGGATCTTGGAATGTTGAATTCCCTAACCATATCCGAAATGGAATGACCCATGCGTCTAGCTCCAACTATCATTCCGCGTTCAAAGTCTGTTAATTCTCGTTGTGCGGCCATAATCACGTCAAAGCCTCTTCACATGAATAACTTGAACACAAATGAAAGCCCTGCCAAAGCACTTCGCATTTATACATTTTCTGCGCGATACTACTGCCATCTGTATATTTGCATATTGCTATCCCATGACTTTTGTCACTTCAGTATATATACATTTATCGAAACATTCGAGAATACTTTTGATTATGAAATTTTCATGACTTCAAAATTTACCTTAGCTATTTTTTCTTATGATAAAATTACAGCTTTAGTTGTATGCAATAATTTTATTGATATTTTAAAATAAATCATACAGGAAAAATGTTGAGAGACCTAAAATATTTTTCATGACTTGCATACTATTCATATTACAGTCTGTTAATATATAATCTAATATAGTTAAAAAAGAAAAGGATAAACATATAAACATGGAAAGGAGAAAAATTTTAGTGATTTGATTCAGGAATTGAACGCACTGAATGAATAAACAAACACAGGAATAAGAACAATACAGTGAGTTTTGTTTTTATCACTCATTAATCTTTAAAGGTCTTATGGTAATTTTATATAACTTAAATATAAATATTAAATCACCAAGAAGCAAAAATATTAAATAAATGCTTAACACATGGGTCATTCAAATTTCCTAGGATAGGCCACATAGAATTGTATTTTTCCTTAAATTTTTATTATGCTTCATTAGTTTTTTATTTTTATGCATACTAAATTTGTCTTGTTACTATTCTGTTGTGCAGTTTCAGATTTAAGGTCGTACTTTTTAGTAACTGTTAAAATGGCAAGCATAAAAGAATTTCTGTGGAAAATGCAGAAAACTGTGAGGAAATTTAAGCAGATAAGTTAACCAACGTAGGGAGTGATAATGAATCAGAAAACTGTAAGCGAAAGAAGATAAATATGAGAATCCTGTTAGGTTTCACTTCATACAGGTGAATGTTTTACAAATATCACACTCATAAGAAATACTAGACATCTAAATAAATAACTTTGTAAAATTTTATCAAAACATATCTTGATTTTTGATTTTGTAAACTGTAAAACATAAGACCCATACATACATTACTCATTTGATTTCCCCCTAATTTTTAGCTGCTTCAATATAATAAAAATGACAATACAAATGAAAAAAATTTAAAAAGTTACCTCACAATTGCTAGTAATGAAATGTTTTCTGCAGATAATCATGAAGAAAGTTACCAATTCTTGATAACACATTTAATTTATTTACCTCAAAATCTGAAACTGTTTCAACTAAGATTTTAAATCTAATTACTGAACTATGACAAATTATCACAATTCTTATATGATATGATATATTCTTTCTCACATTACAACATAAAACACCGGCCTTTTTCTCTTTTCTTAGTACATGATAAAAATATTAGCTTTATAAAGATAAGAACACATTTTTAACAAAAAAAAAAAAAAAAAAAAAAAAACTATGCATATGAATTAATAGATTTTACCATTTCTAAGATGATGGATTGTACATATGACTTCTTATATATTTATACAAAGGGCCAAATACTATCTTTTTCTAACATACATCCCCCTTCAAAAAAAAAAAAAAAAAAAAAAAAAAAATCAGGGATAAAGAACTTTATTTGCTTTAAGACTGCTCCTAAATCTACTGCTTTAGTTCAGCTTTCATTAGTACTTTTTTTTAAACTAGCTGCTTGCACAGCCCTCTTAAAAATACTTTTATAAAAAAAGAAAAATACTATATATATAAAGATTTTTAATGAATTTAGTTTGTAATTAATAATAACAAAATTATAGATAAGTATTTATTGCTTTTAAATTGCTCTTAATTTGTTTATTGGTAACAGATATATTAAATTTGAGTGAAAAATTAAATATCCTGTGTTTTGTCGAATTGCAACATACTGTGGGGTGCAAGATTAAAAATATTTTATTTTGGGCAAAAGCAACACATTTCTTTTAAATCAGTGATTTTGTTGATAAAATTTGAAAAACAAATACATTAAGTCTTGTTGCCAAAATGCTTCTTTTAAATCGCTGGGTTTGTGGATATATTATGTTTTGCCAAGTGGCAACACATTTCTTTTATATTACCAAGCTTTTTGATTCAATTTGAAAGACAAATGTGTGTTTTGCGGAGTGGCAAACACATTTTTTTTTTTATAAAGCTGAATTTTCTAATTACATTAACAATAAATACCTATGCTTGTCGAGTGGTCGAATCGTTTCTAAATTGCTAAGTTTTTCTATTAAGAATTCATTAAATTCAATCAAAATATGTAATTATTAAAAAACTAATTCAAATTCAGGCTTCAAGGAGCCCATGTTCAGGTAGAGGATTATGTGTGTTCAGAATTAGTGACTCTAGGTGCTGCCATTTTTTTCCACAATGGAAGGAACATAAATAAATACAAATTTTTCATTATTTAATAATATAGATTAATTGTTAGAATTTACCATTCTCAAAATTTATTATTAATAAGTTCAAAATATTTTGTGGTTTATAAGCATTGATGAATTTTTATTTCCAAAGCTGATGTAAATTAATGAGATTTTTTTGGAGGTTATTTCTAATTCATATACTACATAATTAAAAAATACAGTAGGTACAGTTTAATGTGACCCCGTTTGCCCACAGTTATTTTCATAATATTAACTGAATGATAACATTAAATGATGAGAGAAATATTATTCAAGTCAGCAACAGAATTTAACTAATTTAATATAAGTTGAAACATATCTTTATTTTTAAAGCATTTTAACAAGGAAAAAAAAAAAAAATGTTAACTAGTGGATTGTCTAAAAGCATCCCTCGAAAGTTCATTTATGAACCATATCCAACATTTCTACAAATTATTTGACCGATGTTACACACCTAATCTTAATACTCAGAGGATGTTCCTTATTTATATCAAATTCACCGATTTCTTTATGTTCCTCAGAAAGTTTATTACATGATGTGCTTCGATTTGTTTTAGAAAACTCTAGCCAGATAGCTTCTGTCTGAAGAAGAATGATCTGTACCTGATTTTTTAACATAAATCAACAGTCATTAAAAATCTACACTAAATTAAACAAAGGGTTGCTTTCGTTTGCCTGATTTTAAATGGTTGACTAAAATGAAAAATAAGCAGCTCATCGACTTGATTCTTGACTTGACACTTTTCAGTCATTTGGCAATTTTTAAAATTTATTTTTTTGATTTGGAAAATTTACTTCGGTTTGAAAAATTTATTTTATAACATTTACTGAACTGTTAATCACAATAAGCGATGTATTTTCCATGTTTTTGTATATAAATGAACCAGACATCAGCTATTCGATAACAATACCCAAATGATAACATTAACTACAATCATATTAAGGGGCAAATGATAACATTAACTACAATCATATTAAGGGGCATCTACGGTATCTGGCAAAGATGTAGTAAAGGCACACAGAGGGGATCAAAATAAGCAAATTTTGTAATGGACCATGTATGCAGAAATAAGTATTGAAGTGGTACTGGGTGCCCATACATATAAAATAAAACATCTTGCGAATTTTTTTTTTTTTTTTTCCCCTGAGGATATTGACTCTCCAATTAATCCCTTACTCGTCGTGCCTGTCTCTCATATGGGCGACCAATACAAACAAATTTTGTAGTGCCTGTACCTCACATGGGCTCTGCTTTTGCAATAAAAAGTCAAGGGAATACCAATTTTTATCGTACCCATATCAATTCTATTTACACAGATGGCAGCACAGTACTTGTAAGTTGATTAGATAACAGTAGTATGTAGATTAAAAATATTTTTTCATTAGAACATATTTTGAAAGGATGGAGTTTCAATGCTCATTGCTTTTTCATGTTTAATATTTGTAAAATGAATAGTTGAAGTGAACAAGAGGATTTCAGTCCTGAAGAATTGGGAAGTGATTCAGAAGGCAGCTTTTTTTCAGATGCTTTTGATTCTGAAGATAGTGACAATCACGCACAACTTTTACCAGGATGCAAATGGAACTAAATTATGATGGATATCCAAGATATTTGTCCTCCATGTTTTCAGTTCAAATTATTGCCTAAAGTTAATATTTCATTTCAAGTTGGTGCAGACGTTTTACAATATTATGAGCATTTTATAAATGATGAAATAGTGGATATAATTGTAAAAGAGACTAATTGTTATGCTGAGCAATCAGGTAATGCTGTTAGTAAAAGAAAACTGAAAGGTAGAAGAGAATGAAAACTTATCAGCACATGAAATAAATTTGTTCCTTGCACTTTCAGTTTTACAAGGTAATAAATCTTACGAAAAAACCTGAAGAAAGCATGTACTGGACTAAGAAAACATCAGTAGAAACTACTTTTTTTATGTAAGATTATGTCATCTAATCGATACTGTGAAATGAAAATATACTTGCATATTGTGAACACTGATTCTTATGATCCAGAAAATCTTCCTAACCTGAAACTACAAAATTTGGCCTATCTGTGAACACCTGAATAAAGATAAATTTTGTCAAAATTTTGTGATGAGTAAGAGGTTAAAAAAAAAGTCCCATGTGTTTTTATTTAAACCAATGTACACATTCTTCTAAGGAACCATACACTGAATTCTAGTTTCATCACAATTTATAATCTGCAAACTTAAAATAAAAATTACAAGCTATAAACAAAAAATAATTTGCAGAAAAACAAAGGAATACAAGAAGCCTAGGGATAAAAGGTAACCCTTTTCTACATCTTAAATATATGAAATATTAAGCACTTTTAAGTTCTTTTTTTTTTTTTTTTTTTTTTTTTTGTTTTCACCACTTAATCAAGCACAACTAAACATTTATTACACAATGCACAAAAGGAAAAAATTCTACAGTACAAAATAGCATTTCTAAGGTACACCTGCTCCATACATACGGACAAAAACAAGCCTACGTTTGATTTTTGCTCTACAGACAAACAACTTATAATTACAAAGATAGTTGTTTTAACATTAAACAAGAATAACTTCTAAATACCTGAATGATGAATTAGTGCATTCACAGTAACTCATACTATCTAGCATAAATTTTGTTAAAGAAATCAATAACAAGTAATAATTACTGGCATAATACCTCCTGTTGCTTATTATGAGTTTCTTTAACATTTTGTTTTTGGCATGGCCTTTTTGGTACACAAATGTTGTTGTTCTAGAAATTAAAATTCTGAATACTTATATTTAAAGAGAGATTGAAAAAAAATGCATTCATGCTTACCTTAACCTTTCTGAATCTGAAGGGTGAGGCATGTGTCGTTGAGCAGCATCCAGGATTCGAATTTGCTGATAACATTCTTTACTAAGAGGTACTGGACCAAGTGGAGCTACACCTAGTAAAGGTAGAATATGGGCTTCTGCAAAGAAATAATGAAAAAATATATTCAATAACACATTGCACACCTCGAGGGGGGGGATATAACAGAAGGGACTGAATATCAGATATTTATTAGGAACAAACAATTTCTCCCCACCTTTAAAACACATTCTTTAAATATACTGCTGTTCAAAGAAACTGCAACACCAAGAAAGACATTTACAACACAGATATTAATTGAAGAGGATATATATTTAAGATATTTATTGAAGAGTATTATATATTTATACGACAAAAATGGCTAAAATTTGATCACTATATGTCAGGAAAAAACATGCTAAATTTAATACTTCATTTATTTCGCTTCAGCATTCATAACTGATCAACCATAGCATGGCACTGACAGATAGACCATAGCATAGACTTTGGATATCTATCTGTGAATGTTATTCCATGTAAACTGAGTATGCAACTAATGCTCACTGGTTACAGTTGCACATGAAGATATATGGGTCCACACATGTTCAATCGGGAATAAACTGGGTGAACATGAAGAGTCTAAGGAAGAGCTTATACTTGACAGTCACACAAGAAACATACAGCAATGTATATAATATAGGTAGTAGCATTGCCCTGGTGAAATATAGTCACAGGATGGTTTTCTAGTAAAGGTAAAAATTCTAGCTCTAACGCTTCATGAATCTAATGGTGGAGTGCCTGTGATTTGTGAAGATGAGAAATAGAATGAAAACACATCATACTACAATGTTTTACATTATGGGCTTCCAGATAGCATTTCACATGGTATCTGCAAAACAAGGTCAGAATACCAAAAATCTATATAGTCTCTCAAACATCAATAGTGAAATACACATGGTTTTGGCAACATTCCACAAGTTACTAGTGACAGATTTTTTTCATTCAGCACTGAAATAGGCCTACCACATTTTACTGCTCATTGCTTTTATAACTGTCATTAAATAAGTATTTTGTCCATAGTCATTAAACTTAATCTGTGCACATTTTACATTATACATTTAGTTATATATATATATATGTACACACATATACCGTACATATACATATACAGCATAAAGTCTCAGATCCAAAATCACTGGGATTTCAGATTTTAGATCATCATAAATATCATTAATCATCATTAAATTCAGGATGATGACATGTACTAATTATAAAATTAAAAATATGAAATAGCCGTTTATAAAATAAATATGTATCTAGTTGTTTATACAATAATATGTACTTATCTTAACGTCATAAAAAAAAACCCACTCAATTAAAAACTTTTGTTTCAATGCAAAGTGTTTAAGCTGTTTCATCTCTTGTATTAATACTTTCTCTTTAATTTTAATAGATCGGCATAATTTCTTGCTCAAAGGTCTATTGCTCAGGCTCTGTTATTGGCATAACGAGAATTCTCTTTTCGGCCACTGCTAATCTACATATTGTTGCTGGTCAAATCAGCAGGTGTCTGAAAGTGACCAACAAGGATCTCAGTTAAATGGGAGAAAAACTGCTTTTACCAGACATATTTTTTCTGTGTATGTGTGTTTGCATGTATCTATTCTTCGCTGGTAGCCTTTATAAAGTTAGGATTTCACTGATTTTGGAGGATCAGTTAAAATCTAGTAACATGGCATGTAGAATTATTAAGCTTTTTGTAGTACTATAACAGGTATTTTATACCATTCTTCCTGAACAGCTTTCCAAAATCTATGGAGGGTTGTATGTCAACATTTGGACGGTCCGTTTTTTAAAAGTCCAAAAGTGCAAAAATCCATGAGTGACATATCAGGAAATTTACTAGGAATATGAGTGAAATGTATGGCCTTGGTACCATTTCTGGTTCCATTTTTTTCAGGAAATTTACAGTAGATTTTGAAAAGGGGCTGCATGCTTTGTCTTGATGCAGTTCTACTGATTGATGGCATTGTGGCTCAGAGAAGGTATTTCATATTTGAAAATTTAGATATAAAATATTGTTGCGTTTTTCTTTTCTTCTGACACCAGTTGTTACGTTATATTCTTCCTTCACGTTCGTATGGGGTTCGTAGATTTGGAGTGAATAACGACGACACTTGATGAAGTATCGAAAGACACTTTATTTAGCAAATGCTGATCAGGACAGCTCCAAAGTCACGAGTAACGTTTTACAGACATCAAAGATCTACTATAAACACGCTGACATGATCAGTGACACAGCCTTCAGGATATCACGGTGGAGATGGCTTCACTGCAAAGCACCAGAGTACAGCTCCCGACTCTGCTCGGTCGTTCTCGAAATTCCATGTACTCTCGAGACTCTCCACGCTACAACTCGCGATGCACTCGACAACACACAGAGCACGGCTCTTCGGTTTGGTCGTTCCCGGAGCTCAACATGCTCTCTTGACATTGCACTAACCGCGATACACTAAGAGATTCCTTCGGTGAACTTGACGACCCACGTGGCACTCGCTGCCCGGCCATCAACTTGATCGACTCCGCAGGGATTGCCTCGCTAGATGAGACACCAACTCGATACTAACTAACTGCCACTCCAGATAAGGCACTCTGACTCACCCTCTCGACTAGGCACACTCATTCGATGAGAGACACACTCGGAGACACTGACTGACTGCGGACCAGCAGGGTATATATAGCTTTCAGCTTGTGTTCGAGAACATTCTGGGCTAAACCAGTAAGAATTCGTTCCAGAAGGTTCTCCATTCGTCCATCTCCAATTTTGTTTCCAAATGGGCGATTTCTCACCAAATGTGGCAACACTGTCTTCCCTTGCCATTTTATGGCAACCTAAAACTGCTTTGCGGGGAAAGCCATCTCACCGCGCCTTGACATTTCGTAACACTGCCCCCTCCCAAGGACTGCACGTCCCGGGCAATACAACCCTTGGTCAGAAGCCAAATTCGATACGAAAAAACATAATAAAACAAACAAAAAACATAACTAAAGAAACAAATATTTACACTATTCACAAGTTAGATACACATAAATTAAACACGTCATAATTTTAAATTATACAAATTAAAGTTAAGAATGAATTTCAGTCTCAGTCTTTTCATTAAAATATACCCATTAAAATACGGGTCAAATACTTTTCCACTGCAGGTTTCAGATGCATTTCTGTTTTGCGTATCACAATCTGAAGATATAGTCCTTTCAGACTTGTCATTCACAGGAAGATCGGAAACAGTTTGTTCACCACTCTGTAGTTCATTTTCAACATGCATACAGTTCACCTTGGTATTATTAGCAGATGCTACATGCTTATTTACCTCTATTCTTGAAAGTCATTTTCGATGTTTGTGCTAGGGTCATGAATAGAATCCGATCCTTTACAAGCAGAAGTATATAAGTTTAGAATCAAATCCTTGTCTGCAAAATCTGCACTATGAGACGCACACACAGTTTGCAACTCGCTAACTGCAACTTCATAACTTCACTATCAGTTTCTACCAACTTTACTGTCACATTTTCACGTTCTTCCATCTCTACTTCAAGCATTTCAGAATCAGGAATTTCTTTCCCGTCTTTTATTTCTTCATGTTTTTGTTCTTTTTCTTTAATCCCGTTAATTGTTTCATCTTTCACTTCTTGATCTTCCTCAGACAGTTCATTAGCTACTTCCTTCATTTCTTCATCCTTTGATTCTTCAGATACCATTTCTATCACTTTCATATAGTCTTTTATGACTCCAGTTTCTTCTGTAAGCTCCACTTTCACCTGTTGGAGTTGCTCTTGCACCTTTTCTTGGCCAACATTTATTTCTTCTCTTCCAGTCCAGCTTTGATCTCAGCTGTCATCTCTTTATATCCAGCTTTATCTCATCATATCCAGCTTTCATCTCTTCTCTTCAGGGTTTGATCTCGGCAAAGAAGTCCATCAAAGTCTTCGTTTTCTCCGCCACGGCTTTCCTCTGCAGGCGCGTCACTGGCATTCACTCGCAAACCCCACTCCTGACACCAGTTGTTGCATTTTTCTTTTCTTCTGACACCAGTTGTTACATTATATTCTTCCTTCACGTTCGTATGGGGTTTGTAGATTTGGAGTGAATAACGACAACACTTGATGAAGTATCGAAACACACTTTATTTAGCAAATGCTGATCAGGACAGCTCCAAAGTTACATTTTACAGTCGTTGAAGATCTACTATAAATACGCTGACACGATCAGCGACACAGCCTTCAGGTTATCAGGCTATCATGGTGGAGACGGCTTCACTGCAAAGCACCAGAGAACAGCTCCCGACTCTGCTCGGTCGTTCTCGGAACTCCACATACTCTCGAGACTCTCCACGCTACAACTTGCGATGCACTCGATGACACACAGAGCACGGCTCCTCTTCAGTTCGGTCGTTCCCGGAGCTCAACACGCTCTCTCGATGGTGCACTAACCACGATACACTAAGAGACTCCTTCGGTGAACTCGATGACCCACGCAGCACTCACTGCCCGGCCAAAAACTCGATCGACTCCACAGGGATTGCCCTCTCTAGATGAGACACCAACTCGATACTAACTAACTCGCACTTCAGATGAGGCACTCTGACTCGTCCTCTCGACGAGGCACACTCACTCGATGAGAGACACACTCAGAGACACTAACTGACTGCGGACCAGGAGGGTTTATATAGCTTTCGGCTTGTGTGTTGAACATTCTGGGCTACCAGTAAGAATTCGTTCCAGAAGGTTCTCCATCCGTCCATGGTATATCTCCAATTTTATTGCCAAATATGGCAACCCTACCTTCCTTTGCCATTTTATGGCAACCCTAAAACTGCTTTGCAGGGAAGCCATCTCACCGCGCCTTGACATTTCGTAACAATATGTTCCTGGTAATATGCGGAGTTGATCTTAACAGTTTTCTGTACTCTCTGAAATTTTTGTTTGTCGTTATATCAAAAACCAGCAATAATCATAAATCCCTTTGAAAAACTTTTTTTAGATTTTTTTAACCAGGTTATAAGACTTTTTTTTTTTCCCTTTTGATGATAATAAATGGATCTCTTTTTATTGCGGTCTTTTAAATAAACCTAAGATTCATCTATTGTGACAACATTTTTCCATTTTGCCTGCACAATTGTTTCTCACAGAACTGTGCAGTGCATTCTGCTTTTGGTGATTATGTCGTGGAGAAAAAAGACAATGTACATTACTTTTTTTCACTTTTTAAAAATCAAATCAGCATTAGTCGATTTTTTTACAAACGCCACTGAACAATTTAATGATTTTGCAACTGTCCTTTAACTTGGCAGATTTTCTTTTAACATGAAAGATCTTACCTTGGCAACATTCAAAACATTCTGTTTTTCCTTGGATATATATTTAGATCAATTCTTCCTCTTGAAGCCAAACTTTGATGTTTTGATGTTGTTTGTAATTTTTTTTAATAGCAGAGCAAAATTGTCTAAAAAAAGGGGGGGGGAACAACCTTTTTATTGTTACTGGCCCTGACAGTGTGATTCCCTGGCCAGCACATGTTTGAAAGTGACATACACAAATCTTAGTTGGGAGGAAAACCCTTTTTAAAACACATCTGTCTTCCTGGAGTATTGTATTCTTCATTCCAAAAATAAAGATTAAAAAAAAAAAAAAAAAAAAAATTGGTAGTCTGAGGGTTTGGATATAAGTTATTCCAGATATTGTGTTCCATCATGGTTAGAATACTTTGTCTATTTTTACTGATGTAATAATTGCAGCGCCACACAATGTCAGTGGCGAGAACCCAGTTCTAATCAGTAAGCAATAAGCACGTACTCGGTCCCCACTGAGTTACTTTTCCTCTGCCTGGTCAAAGTGGCAACCAATTGCTATACAGTCAAAAGTCGTTAATCCGGACTCGTCGGGACTTCGGCGATTCCGGATTATAGATCATCAGTTTAAATCTGGTAAGATGGCATGCAGAAATTAGATAATACATTCTCTTTAATTCTATAAACGGACATAATTTCTTGTTCAGTTACAAAGTTCCGCTGTTCAAGTCCTATAATTGCTGTGTCGAGAATACCGACTAATTTGTCAATCGAAATTTTTTCGTTTTCAATAACCTCTGTCACTTTCTTCGTTATCGGAAGCGAATTATAATGACAAGGAATTTGATTTAAATCATATCAAAGACAGAGTACATCCAGATGAAATAATACATATAGTAAGGAATTATAAGCCAAATAAAATAAAAACATCTGCCCTGAAGATAAGGATAGTGCTGACAGATCAACTTCCAATTCATTGCGCGCCGCAGCGTTAAAAGATAAACAAACGTTAAAGTTTAGATAAACAAAGGATATGCCTTTATCCATTTTTTGCAGCAATTCCACTTTTTGTTTGATGGACATCGGAACATGCTTTCGCTTTGTAGATCCTTTGATAGCTCCAGAATCGGAAATTCTTTTTGACATAATCGAAAGTTCAAGCTTACTCTTATAAAATTGCTCAAACAGTCTGCAAAAAATAATAAGCCGGATCCAATTAGAAGATTAAAAACAGCGCAATCTGCAACATTAACTGAATTAGATAATTTTAGCTTAGCTTATACCGTCCGTTATACATTAAACGCGCATTCGTAAACGTATTTTGCACACACGCACATGCCTATTTGCAGCCATAAAGGTCTTATGCGCATGTGTCATTGAGGTCCGGATTATAGATCATTCCGGATTATGGGTGTCCGAATTAACGACTTTTGACTGTACAGTGGAACGAACCTCGAAATACGAGCGCCGCTATATATAAGAAATTCAAGATAGGAGGAAAACATGAGCGAAACAATTGTCTTTAAATACGAGCAATGAGCCAGGCTATTGGTATGCATGGCACCATTTCCTGGTCCGGCTCGACTCGGGGAATCTCCTCGTCAGATCACTCAGTGTTCTTTGATCTATGTGTTTTTGCATTTGTGAGTTAATTGTTTATTATTATATTTAACGTGAAAATAATTTTTTCACGTTGCCTCAGATAGTGCTGCAAAGAAAAATAAGGAAGCCATGGCCATTGAAATTAAGGAAGAAATCATATATAAACATAAGCGTGGTGTAAGACTGACGAAATTGGTGAAGACTTACGGCCGTTTGACATCAAAGATCTACAATATTCTGAAGAAGGAAGAAAATAAGAAACTTGGCATGGCCAAAGAAGTTACCATTATTTTCAAGCACTGTACAAATCTCCTAGAAGATGCTAAGAAGCTGTTGTTGGTATGGATTAACAAGAAGCAGTTAAAAGGCAATCTGGTGTTGGAAGCTATCACTTGCTCTAAGGCTAAGAATCTGTACTTGGACCTTCTTCAAGAAACACCAGGTACGTTGACCGAAGATGAGATGGTAATGAGATATTTGGGGGTACGGAACGGATTAATTGGAATTCCATTACTTTCAATAGGGAAGTTTGTTTCTAGATACAAGAAATTCACTATACAAGCTCAATGCCGGAACGAATTAAACTTGTATCTTGAGGTTTTACTGTATTGTAATCCTTACTCACTCTTCTGCCCATTTAAGCGGCATTATTACGTGTTGGAGAGAATAAATGTTGTTAAGTTTTTCAACTTTTAAGAAACAGCCACATGCTATCAATATACAGTATGTCTGAATTTCAGACCTTGTACTGTTTATATTTTTTGCATATGAGGGAAATATTAAAAACTATATTTAGTGAAAGCTAATCTGCTAGCCATGAAAGCTGAGAAAAAATGGCAAGTTTCTTGCAATTTTTTGTACTCAAGTGATGTTTAGCTAAAAATCTTTTCTCGAACAGATATTTTTTCTAAATTCAAATAATGATTAAAGATTCTGTTTCAAACATACAATAATTTATTTCCATACAAAGGAAATAAATTTTTTTACAGAGGAAAATAATTTCATATTTTCTTCCATTTAAACTTTTATCAAAAATAATAAAATATATAATATATATATATATATATATAAATCAGAGTTGATTAAAAAAAAAGAAAGAAATACTAGCCTCTTTCTGTAGAAGATGGTGAAGGAGATGCAGGAAGATGTGTTTCTAAGCCTGCATTTAAGACAGCTTGCTCAGCCATTGACTTTAATGAAGACATAGGTTCATCACTCTGCATAGAAAAATACACAATTGTAGTTACACAAATGTATTACAATAGTCTTTTGTTAACTTGATATTTCAATATTAAGTACTAAAAGTATTCAATAAAACATTATATTATAAGCAGTTAAATAGACAAGAATACAGAAAGTTAGGGAATTTAAGATAAAAGATTTAATTTTATTTGAAATAACTACTAAATAAACAACTAGTAGATTATAATATAAAAATGACTTCATGAATGAATTAAGAATCAGGTTATAGTGTTATGCAATCTCATTTAATGAAATTAATACCTGAAATGATTAGTTTCAAATAATTCAATAAATATTAAAACACTTGAAACAAATGCTTTTTCTCAATAGTCAAAGCACAATCAAATTTTTTCTTTAATAAGAAGCATATCTATTAAAAAATCTAAATGTCTATGTAAAACTAACATACAGCCATAAGCTATTATATCTTCATATTTTCTTCAAAATAAAAACCTGGAATTCTGTCTAGAGACTTCCAATACTTACCTTTAAGTTCTTATGCACTTTTTTATTATGGTTCAGGCAATAATATTTGTAGTAACTACTTCCGCTAAAATACTTTCATATATCACTAATGCTAAGATTGATCTTCAATCTTAGCATTAGTGTACATTTAATGCATAATGTTGAATAATATAGATCTACTGATAAAATACCTAATTTATTATATAAAAGACAAAACCATCATTTATGGTTTCTGATAAAATTTTGTTCTTCTTATGTTTAGCTTACAATTACTTTTGTCTCTATCTTTTGGTATTTATTTCCATAACAAACAGTAAAAGGAAAACCAGTAACATAAAAACAACACAAAGAACAAATGTAAGTACTTTTCTGTCTGGGTAATAAAATAAGAAAGACAAAGTTTACTGTATAATTTGAACACATAAGTTTCTCCCCATTTATGTGTTAATATTGTTGGAATAACATGCTTGCACTAAAAGACATAAAGTGCAGGTCAGGGATGTGAAAATGATTTCACATTCACACATCAATATGACATCAGAAGAAAGGACCCTAAACAACACTGATGAACTATATTAGTACCATAGAGTAAAATACAACACTAGCTGTAAAAGCATAAATTGCTTCAATAAAATATCAATGTATATTTTTTATAGTTACAATTTAGCCAACATATGCTATGGTTATATAAAGGCAGCAACCACTGTGAGAAATGTCCTGGCACAAACAGGTGAGCAAAAACTTAGTGACATGTTAAAAGATTCTTCCAAATCAAATAACTTTTACTACAGTGCATCTGAAGCCTCTCACAATGAGCAAAAAAGGCAAGAAAGTTCAAATCCTCTACTTTTATATTATTTTGTTTAGTTAAAAATTCCTTGCCAACTACCAGCTAGGCAGTTTTCCCAACACTTATTAGATTACGATTAACTATGAATAAGTTAACAAAAAATATCTCATCTCCTTTACATTTAAAAGTGAAAGTTTGTTACCTCTATCTATAACATTCATCATGATCTTGATAATGACTGTGACTCAGATAAAATGATAAATCAGAATTTCTAAAATACATGATCATTCTTCCAACAGATATTCATTCCAAATTTTAAACAATCCCTTGACAGATTTAACCCTTTTGGTCCAACTTTTGCATAATTCAAATTAAACTATGAAAAGTAGTCTAATTTAATGTTGATATACAAAAAGAAATACAATAAAGTTTTTAACTTTTCCTATTTCCTGGGATAAATATGTCCCAATCGTCTAGGATATTACTCCTTCTCAGAAAACAAAACTAAAATTTACGGTAATACATAATGTGAATATTACAAAACATAAACTCTGTCACATGCACTCGTTCATATACAACAGAAATTTTCATATATGTTTCATAAACACAAACATGATATATCAGCATGTAGTAATATGATCACTGGTGGGACATATTAATCCACTGCTAAATACGATTGGGACAATATATCTCACAAAAAGAATTTATTCAAAATTTCTTATATCCGAGATGAAAAATGTTAAATTACTACCTAATAAGAACTATTTCATACTGAGTATGCCTTGAATATAATTGTATTTACTGTAAAATAAATAAATAATAATAAAAAAAAAAATCCTTGAGTAATTGGTGTGTTCAAAAACATAAGTGCGCCATCTGCTATCTAAATGTGTTGCCAGGTTTCTTTAGTCATGTATTTGTTCCCTAATTCCTTAAAAACACTGCAAATGTAAAAGCCCATTTAAAAGTGGGTTTTATTTATGAAATCTAATCTCTGGGATGTATGTGCCCATTAGGACTGAAAGTGTTAAACCAATTACATAACAGTTAACCAATATTAACAGCCGGCAACTTACACATTAATGCCACTCTGAACAAGGGAACAATTTAACAGACAGAATAAAAATTCTGACAGCCTTCTTTTTCATTTTTCCCACCAGAGTCAAAAATGCTTATAAATGATACAATAAATATCCACCCAACACTTACATAATTTGATAATATGTCACATCCAAAACAAATCAAATCAAGGCAACTGGCACCCAAGCTGTCAATAGCCATGATGCTACACTGTCACCTGATATCAACAATTAAAAAAGTGATGAAACATTTGCCATAGTTAGGATTTACTGCAGTACAAAACAAAAGATAAACACACACACAAAAGCGACTTAACTGTACTCATGAAAAAGTGCTAGTTATCGAACAAAAAATTAAGGATAATCACAAATTAGTTTAAAATGCAATCATGATAGCTTAACACAAAACTCCTTTTTCCCCAATATAATTCCTTACTTCATAGCTGATCCTAATCTAATGAGAACAAAACCTGAAAGCATGTAAATACATACGACTGAAAAGAAGCCATTTTTTATTTAACAGAAAAATAAAATTTAACACCGGAAAGAGTAGAAGCAGAATGAATGATTGACATATTGATCATGTCCAGGATCCCATTTTCGGCTCTTCAGTGATTGTGAGGATACAGTAAACAGTAGTGCTTAAATCAAATTTATTATGTGTAAAAAGGTTGCTAAAGAAAGGACGGGATTCAAGAAATTCAGTTTAAAATGAGAATCAAATGACTAAATTTAATAATCTTTTGTTTTTAAGTAAATTTATTTTTAATGCATTCAATTTTAGATATGAATTTTTAGAGTTCTGAAAAATTCTTAATATATAAAAAACAACAATCAAGTCCAAGATCTGGAAAAACAACAATCAAGTCCAAGATCTGGAACTACAGGGATTTTCAGCGATTCCAGATTTTTGATCATCAGTATAAATCTAGTAAAATGACATAAAGACATGTCAACATTGGGGCTTACAGTTTAGATCACACAGAACAATTATAACCCCCTCACAACCACACAAAGGCCAAAAATGGGATCCTGGCCCTCATCAATATGTCAATCAATTCATTATCACTGGCCACAGAAGGACTCTTTTGCCAGCCTGTATTTGAAAGTGATATTCCTGGAATCTCAGTTAGTAGGGAAAAAAATTGCATTTACCAAATATTTGCTGCCTTTTGTTGAGTATTATATTCATCCTTCCTAGGCTTTGCAAGCGGAAAGTGGAATTTTTCTTGTTATTTTAATTTTATTAATATATTTATTTACTTATTGCACTGGTAGTCTGGAAGTTCAAATATTACATCATTCAGGATACTGGACATCCAAATTTCGGACTTTACACTGTATTAATTTAATGGCATTTAATATTCTAAATATGACTGCTAAAAACTTGTAAATCAGTTACTGGTTTGGGAAGGCAATGGTACTTAAATTACATGATAAATAGAAATGATTTAATTTAAAATATGAAAATACAGTTAATGAGCTAAATTCACAAATTATTGAAGCCTTTTTATTCCATGTATCATTGCATAACATTCATTCATCTTTAGTGATAATTTCAAACAAATATAAACATTACAGAAATTTAGTTTTCATTTGAATTCAAGAAGATGATATACTATATGGCTAAAAATACCCCATCCAAAGGAACAGAACTGGCTGGTATGTGGTCTGATGTATAAATGAACATTATAAATGTGCTGAGACACAGAGTTCATATATACTCATTCACAAGACAATGAATAAGTCAAGTGAGCTAAGTGGCATCAAACATGGAATGATTATTGGATGCCATGCGGTGAAAGACTGATTTTTCGCACACACTATGTACACACTATATATGTGTGCTGAAATCAACTCTGTGCTGAGAGTGAAGCACAGAAAAATGGAAACCTTAAAGTAGTAAAACTGCAGCAAAATAAAATAGCAGACTGAGAAAACATAAGGAGAATGTTTTCTCAGTCTGCTATCTGCTTGCAGTCATCAAATCCTAAAATCTCTGTTAGTAGTGATCATTTAGGAGTTTCAAAATGTGTCAGGCACTGCCACTTACAGCAGAACTGTTTATTGAAAATCAAAAAGCCTGGGCTACCAAGGAAATGCAGCAGTTCAAAAGCCGAACATCACCACCGACAAAGTAAAGTGTAAGTTGGAATGGTGCACAGCTCACTGCCAATGGACTGAGGATCAGTAGAAGTAAGTTCCATGGAATGATGCACTATATCACAACTTGACAATCTGGAGAGAAATTATTTGGGACTGGCAGATACCCGCTGAACACCTTTTACCTAATTGCATTGTGCAAACTGTCACAATTGATGGTGGCAGAATGATGTGAAGGATATTTTTCGTGTTTTGGCCTAGGTCCCTTAGTTCCTGCAGCTGGAAACATGAAATTTGAAATGTATCTCAGCACTCTGGAGACACTGCACAAACAACTCAACAATTAGGGAAAAACCTGTTCTAACACACATTGCAGCTTTTGCAACTGTGATTCGATCATATGAGTGCTCAAAACCATGATCTAAACCCAAATGAAAAACTGCCCATCTTCCATGGCCGAACTCACTTCAGCTCCAATGGATACCTGAAAATCAAATCTTGTGACCACCTATGAAAAATGAAGGAAAATCTCAGATGT